GAACGAGCCATTCTAAAGTGTTCGGAATCGGACAGCTAGGAGGCCCAAGCAGCACTTTTTCTTTCTTTGTTGTCTGGAGAAATGGAGCGTCTGTGACTGGATGGGTGGGTCAATGTCACATTTGTGGTGAAAATAAGACTGAGATTATTGAAACTGGCTGGTTATTGAACAGTAACATAGAAAAGTGCAGTGATGATTGGAAATCAACACTATTTAATCAGGATAGCTTCACTCGCACTGAACAGAACCCTGGGCCAAGGAAGAGAGATAATACTCATGTTCCAGACAGAAGTGGAAATGAAGCACAGCCCAAGGCTTGTGATGGGTGCAAACATCACCTTACCTACACTCTCTTCAGTTTGAGTGTGATCATTTCTGTTTTACATGTTTACTGGTAAAAACGGGTTCATGTTCATCAGGACTTGGTTCCTGGGAATATGGTAACGTCAAACTCACTAGCCAAATTGTAAGCAGTAATTTCTCTTCATCTACAATGTAGGGGCATTCAACTGGAGGGTATATAAGGCATTGTTGTGCCTAAAAATAGCAAAGAAAACCCATTTTTCACAACGCAACATCAAATTGATCTTCTGAATAGTTCTTAAGGAAGATCAATACCATTTTTGATTAACATTTTAATCCTGAATTGGCACTAAAAATCGACCACACAGGAACCAGGCCTTGAGCTCTGATAATAGTATTTATGCACTATATTATGTATGGGTAGTGAAGGGTAGATTTGTAGGAAATTGTTAATCCCTTAAGAATAAAATAATGTGGATCTGATCCTGAAAGCTCAGAACAACTGTAATGAGTTTCCAAGTCTTTATACATTTTCTTCCTGTTCCAGAGTCTTGAAGGTACATTGTATAATTATTGCAGCAAAGTCTTGAATTTTTGAACAAGTCTCGATGTCTGAAAAAGTCTAGGGTTTCACCATCCCAATCCCTTCATATGCACACAAAACTGACGTTTTCTCTGCTGGTAAAGTGGGCTGCCACTGGCATAGCATAATGACTGCTGAGTATCCATACTTTACAGTGGCAGGGTTCCTGTGTGGTTCCATTACCCCAAATACAAGATAAAGCCACACCCAGCATCATGAGATTAAAATTAGATTGTTTTGGCACAGAAGACCGAGGCCAAACTGCAATGATCAATGTTACCTCATATATTTTACAGTTACAACTGTAGTTATTTAACCTTTATTTGCTTAGCACTAAAATACATGTAGTAATTTTTTTACTGCTTAGTTATGGTTAACTTGAGTAGACAGCTGACATTTGACGACACCATCACTATTTTCCCTGTGAAATGATGTCTGAGAAAGGAGCACAGAAATTCCATATCTGGTTAGTCAGCTTCTGATTGGATGAAGCAAATTCCGAACAATCAGCAGCACTACCTAGATTTGGGTAGTAGGTCTAGTAGTACGTCCTCAGTATAGTTTTTCTGTGGGCGTTTCTTGGTAGCCTCCCACTCAGACGTTCTTACTGGTTCGTCACGCAATCATTCCTGGGGTAGGAACGCGTGACGAACCCCTAAGAACGTTTGCGTGGGAGGCTAGTTTCTTGGTGGCATCACAAAATGTCGGCTGTTTTTTTTAATTGTGTAGTTGAGTGGGTGGTGGAGGGGGAGGGAGGAGGGGGGAGGGGAGGATAGAAACAGGGTGAGGGGAGGGTTTCATGTATTTAATCAAGAAAGGAGGATGGTATCAGCTCTACCTAAAGGACTAGAATACAAAGTGGAAAAGCTCAAAAGCGAGAAGGTTGGAGGTCATGCACCTGAGGATCAGAATCTAAGCTGAACTTCCAGTTGGTAAACAGGGGCTGGAAGGGGGGGTCCTGATCCCGCATTCCCACCTCTTTTTCGCGAGAATCCCGCATCCCCCACGTTTTTCATCAGTTTCCCGAATACCGCTTTTCTTTCTCAGAAAAATACATTAAAAAGTCTAATTTCTACAAAAGCTAATAAATGTTAGATGTAGGTTGATCCTTTTGATTGATATTTTGAATTTACTCGTGTTTTTAAAGGTTTCCGGCATTCCCGACAGACACGCAAACATAAATCCCGCTTCCCGGGGAACAGTCAAATCCCGGATCCTGTCAATATATTTATCGTTTTCCCGATTCCCGCACCGTATTTTGGTCAAATCCCGAATCCCGAAAATACCCTTCCAGACCCTGGGTAAATAAACCATCCTGGATTAGTTCATACAAAGTTTTACAGTCATGATTGATTAATACAGTCCTTGCTTTATTAGTGAAGAATGATTAGGGGAGGGGAGGGGGGTGCATAATAGAGAGGGTGGCTTATTAACTTTTTTAACCCTGAAAAGGGGTGGGTTGGGCGAGGGGGCTCATTAGAGGGAGAAGGCTTATTTGAGAAGGGGGGCTAAACAGAGGATTTACTGTAATCATTTATTTGCTGCATTTGAAGAGGCTTTTTTGCTTTTGCTTTCTTTCGAAAAGCCTTTTAAAGTAGATGTAATTGATCAGTTGACAGTTGTGACTTAAACTGGATGAAATATTTTGCTTTGACAGGAGCAACACCTTATGACTACAAAGGGGCATCATTTGCTTTCTCTGTAGTCTGGAGGAATGGTTCATCAACAACTGTGTGGACTGGTCAATGTCTTGTGTGCAGTGATGGGCATGAAAAGCTTCTTACCTCTTGGCTGTTGCGTTCCAAGGTAGATACCTGCATAGACAAGTGGAAGTCAACTATGATTGGTCGAGACACCTTCACTAGATACGAACAGCGTGATGGTCCTCGCAAACCAAATGCATCCATTCCAGAAACCCTGGTAATTATTGACAAAACAATTAAGACCTTGGACCCTGAAGTCAAAAATAAATCTTGCAGCTTAAATGGTGTTTGGTATAATCATTTGGGCTCGGAGATGATTTTGACCCAAAAAGACGATAATACTATTGAAGGAGAGTATCGCACTGCTGTTGAGCGGGAAACTGGAGCAGCTGGAACGAGCCATTCTAAAGTGTTCGGAATCGGACAGCTAGGAGGCCCAAGCAGCACTTTTTCTTTCTTTGTTGTCTGGAGAAATGGAGCGTCTGTGACTGGATGGGTGGGTCAATGTCACATTTGTGGTGAAAATAAGACTGAGATTATTGAAACTGGCTGGTTATTGAACAGTAACATAGAAAAGTGCAGTGATGATTGGAAATCAACACTATTTAATCAGGATAGCTTCACTCGCACTGAACAGAACCCTGGGCCAAGGAAGAGAGATAATACTCATGTTCCAGACAGAAGTGGAAATGAAGCACAGCCCAAGGCTTGTGATGGGTGCAAACATCACCTTACCTACACTCTCTTCAGTTTGAGTGTGATCATTTCTGTTTTACATGTTTACTGGTAAAAACGGGTTCATGTTCATCAGGACTTGGTTCCTGGGAATATGGTAACGTCAAACTCACTAGCCAAATTGTAAGCAGTAATTTCTCTTCATCTACAATGTAGGGGCATTCAACTGGAGGGTATATAAGGCATTGTTGTGCCTAAAAATAGCAAAGAAAACCCATTTTTCACAACGCAACATCAAATTGATCTTCTGAATAGTTCTTAAGGAAGATCAATACCATTTTTGATTAACATTTTAATCCTGAATTGGCACTAAAAATCGACCACACAGGAACCAGGCCTTGAGCTCTGATAATAGTATTTATGCACTATATTATGTATGGGTAGTGAAGGGTAGATTTGTAGGAAATTGTTAATCCCTTAAGAATAAAATAATGTGGATCTGATCCTGAAAGCTCAGAACAACTGTAATGAGTTTCCAAGTCTTTATACATTTTCTTCCTGTTCCAGAGTCTTGAAGGTACATTGTATAATTATTGCAGCAAAGTCTTGAATTTTTGAACAAGTCTCGATGTCTGAAAAAGTCTAGGGTTTCACCATCCCAATCCCTTCATATGCACACAAAACTGACGTTTTCTCTGCTGGTAAAGTGGGCTGCCACTGGCATAGCATAATGACTGCTGAGTATCCATACTTTACAGTGGCAGGGTTCCTGTGTGGTTCCATTACCCCAAATACAAGATAAAGCCACACCCAGCATCATGAGATTAAAATTAGATTGTTTTGGCACAGAAGACCGAGGCCAAACTGCAATGATCAATGTTACCTCATATATTTTACAGTTACAACTGTAGTTATTTAACCTTTATTTGCTTAGCACTAAAATACATGTAGTAATTTTTTTACTGCTTAGTTATGGTTAACTTGAGTAGACAGCTGACATTTGACGACACCATCACTATTTTCCCTGTGAAATGATGTCTGAGAAAGGAGCACAGAAATTCCATATCTGGTTAGTCAGCTTCTGATTGGATGAAGCAAATTCCGAACAATCAGCAGCACTACCTAGATTTGGGTAGTAGGTCTAGTAGTACGTCCTCAGTATAGTTTTTCTGTGGGCGTTTCTTGGTAGCCTCCCACTCAGACGTTCTTACTGGTTCGTCACGCAATCATTCCTGGGGTAGGAACGCGTGACGAACCCCTAAGAACGTTTGCGTGGGAGGCTAGTTTCTTGGTGGCATCACAAAATGTCGGCTGTTTTTTTTTTTGTTGTTTTGTTTTGTTTTGTTTTTTTTTTTTCAGGCTAATTAATTAATAGTAACAGAAAAATATTTTCTGTTTCAGCAGTAAATGTGTGGAATAATATAACAGTTGTATAGTACTATTGTAGGGTAAGGGCTGCATTAGTAACTTATTTTTAGGGGAATAGTGAATGAGCCATAGTTTATTGTGTCCTCATTCAGAAGTTTCAGAACTTATAGAGATCAGTTATCCACTTGAACAACGCTCGATTTGTATAAATTATATTAGTTGTAATTTATTAATTAAAAGCTTCTATTAATTCTTGGATATTTTTTCGTGCTTTATCAGTTTATTATTTAACAAGGTACAATATTTCTGTTCTGAACGTAGGACAGTAACTGATATTTGGTGTTGTAAACATTTATATTTCTAGGAATAATACTTGAATAAAAGTTGATTTTCAAGTTATATATTTGACTGGTTAACCGTTGCTGAAAAATATCGTCCTCAGTGACAGAGATTCGCGCGCTATGATTGGTCCAGGAAAACATCATATCCCTCAGTAATCAGCCTTCGAGGGTAAAGGAAAGAATAGAATTACGGAGTGCCGCGCTGCATGACTTGCGGAGTGGGATAATTTTTGGGTTGAAGTCACAGAGGCAACGATAAGCATTATCTAGGTTGCCATAGACATGACCTTCCGCGGCCCTGTCTCCGACTTCCTTGACAATACTCAGGTGTTGCTTGTGGAACTCTGTTTCTCGTTGAAAGTTACAGAGTCATGAAGCATTGCTGAGATTACCAGAGGCAGTCTCTTCCAAAGTCCTGTCCCTGA